GGGGGTATCTTCGGGAAAAGGCGAATAAAAAAGTTCATAAAATTGAAACGAAAAGTGATCAATCTGGCCATAATTTTCTTGAATTTCCAGCGAAAAAAAATGAAGGCCAACCTTTTCGCGAGGTTCAAGAGTCGGCGCTATTTCGGTCTACGGGCGCATATTTGGTGTAATGCAACCAAAAGACTGAGTTGGTCCGAGTTGACTCGAGGTGGGTCCGAAATAGCGTGGGTCCAAGTTGGCATGGGTCCGAGTTAGAATGGGTCCGAGTCGACGTGGGTCCGAGTTGGTCCTGGGTCCGACTTGGCATGGGTCCGAATTGGAATGGGTCCGAGTTGGAATGGGTCCGAGTTGACCTGATCCCATCGGCCACATATGTGTACGAATATCCAAAATGGAGGTCAACAAGCCAAAATAAGCGACGTACGAAACCAGAATACATGTCCTCTCATTACAACAATCTGAATCTCTTAAATCTTAATAGAAGCCTCATTACACAAACAGTGTCTTAAAACATGTTACAAATATTGAAGATACCAAAATTAGGCCCCTACCTCCAGAAAGGCTTCTCCTCTAAATCCGTGAATTACGGCTAAGGCTGTATCGAAGTCCGTTGTGTAGAGCTCAGTATGATACAGATCAGTGGCTTGGTCTACGTCTTCACTCCATTGAAAGTACGTGGAGAGGCCCACACAATAGACCTAGCCGTAGCTCTGGAAGTCCGTTTTGGACACGGCCTAAGCCTATTTTTTTTTTAGAATGGCCGGAAACAAGAGCGCCCTCAATTGGCTTGCACTGATCTGTTATCACTTGCGCGCGTGCAGCATTTTTAAAGAGCGGGATGTACACGCTCCCTATCCCGTTCGTAAGTGACTTCGTCACAAAGGTGGACGCGCCACGACTTGCAGGCTCCCATTGGACGATCGCAGAAGTTGTGCGTTAACTTCGGGTTCCATGGCTCCATGCAAATGACGATCAATGCTTGTAACCCCTTGATCTCCATTATATCCGTTCCGAGCATGAATAAAAGAGGGCGTATTTTGAAATGAAATCGATAGTCCGATTACACTTTCTGCCGCTTAGTGATCTATCTAGCGCCACTGCGCTGCGCGGCGCTATACTAACTTTGCTTTTTTCTGCAACACACAACAAGTTAGTCTGGATACCAGACCCGATGATTTTAGTCGGGTTGGTAGCCGACCCTAAACTTGAAAAAAAAATCCCCCAAATTGAAAAATCTCTCTCTCCCATCCGAACCACAAAACGGGGAACCCTTCAGTTTTTAAAAAATCTCCCATTCCAAACTCGAAACGAGAGAGCCACCTTCCCCTCTCCGATCGCTCTGTCGCTGTCTCTTTTTGAAAATATGAAATTTTTAACTTTATGATGAAGCAACCATAACCAAGGATCTTATTTTGCGAGTCAATTTGAATATGCAAAGATGCTGGCCACATGTGCCGCTTGGCTCCACCTCTCACCACCTCTCAACTTCCTTTTCCTATTCTATTTTCACATCGACTCCCCCAAAACTCGCTCCCTTCGGTCGCTACCTACAGTCGATCGGCTTGCCACCAGTCTCAATTCCCCGTTTGTGTCGCTCCCCACAGTCGATCGGCTCAACATAAAAATAAACGCATCTCGGTTGGCAAGATCCCTCAACCCTCAAGGGCTCGACCATAGAGTTAGATATAATGACATTAACTCGGGGAAGAGGGAGTGGCCTCTCCCAGCGAGTCTATTGTCGCAATTTTTATCAAGATGTATTTTTTTTTTGCGTTGGGGAGATGTTAATTATATATAACGGGTTT